GGGGAGTTAGTTATTAGGAAAAACTATTTCCCTAAGAGGGTGGTGGGGCACTGGGATTGGTTGCCTAGGGAGGGGGTGGAATCTCCATCCCTGGAGGTTTTAACTCCCGGCTTGCCAAAGCCCTGGCTGGGATGATTGAGTTGGGGTTGATCCTGGTCTCGATGACTCCTAAGGTCTCTTCCAGCCCTAGAATTCTATGATTGTAAAGTATCTGGTGATGGCCGCCTCTGGTGGCCGGATAGTGAACTAAATGGGTAAAAGGTCTGATCTATACACTTAGCACGAACTGGGATCCTGGCCCATAGCTGGAGCTCCTAAAAGCTAATGCAATAGACTTAGTAAATAAATAAATAATCATCCAGTATGGTAATTCCTATGGCCCTAGTGCCACACTCTTCCACAGAGAGGCTACGTCTACACTGGCCCCTTCTCCGGAAGAGGCATGCTAATTTCTAACTTTGGAATAGGGAAATCTGCGGGGGATTTAAATATCCCCCAGAGGTGAAGGAGGGTGTGTAGGGGGTTGTGATTTGGAGCAGGGGTGCAGGAGTTTGGGTTGTGACCTGGTGCAGGGGCTGGGAGGGAGGTTGGGTGCAGGAGCGAGGGCCGTAGAAGGTTTGGGTTACCTGAGGCAGGGGTGGAGGAGGCACAGGGCTTGGGGGAAGGAGGGGCTGGGGTGCCAGAGGCAAGCTCTGACTGGGAGACACTTACCTAGGCAGCTCCTGGCCAGCAGCCCAGCAGCTCCCTCAGGCAGGTTCCTTGCCTGCCCTGCCCCCGCATGCTGCTCAGAGAGGTCAGCTGTGGGGGCCACCTGCTTCTTTGTGCCTCACAAAGCCCCTGGAGAAGGGAGGCTTTGTGTGCTGCCTTCCCCACAAACATGGCCCAGGCAACTTCATTGGCCATGCAAAGCCTTCCCCCTGCCCCACATTCAGAGAAGCACATGGTCCCCGGAACCTGCCACTGGGCCATGGGCCCCTGCTCTACATACAAAATCACATGTACTTATAGGGTCCCTGTCACCATAGCCTTTAAGCACATCACACTGTTTAATGTAGTTCTCCTTGTAATGCCCCCACAGAACAGGGCAGGGCAGGAACTGAGGAACAGAGAGGTTAAGTGACTTGCCAAAGGTCACACAGGCAGGCTGTGACAGAGCAGCGACTTGAATTCAGGTCTTTCAAGCCCTGGGTTAGTGCTCTAACCACTGGACCATTTTTCTTCTCCTTTTATGATCTCTAACCTGTCTATTGGTTCATTCTCAACACCCCAGGGAGCTATTACACCCATTTCACAATCAAGTAAATGGAGGCCCCCTTCTGTGTTGGAGATAACTGCTTTGTTGACTGCAGTGACATTACAATGATATGGCCCTTACAGGATTCAGAAGGACTTGCAAGATGTATCCCCTGTCTTGGACCTGAGAAAGAAATTGCCCAGTGCCCCTCTTGATTTAGGGCTTCTCTACCTGGCCTTTGGTTCAGGAATGGTGCTATAAATGCCAACTTCTAGCCTGTCGTTTGCTCAAAGTCAAATGATACGTCACCAGCAGAGTGAGACACACCCACGAGAAAGCTCAGCACCCCACCCTCAGCCCTCACCAGTAGGCACTGGTGACAGAGACTCGCTTTCTAAATCCAACTCAAAAGAACCAACATCTGCACCTTACCCGCACTCAGCCGTGAGGTCAGCTGGCAAGCAATCCCTCCTTAGCACATTCACATGCATTCCTCTTGCATTCAGTGCTCTGAACAGGTTGTGTCATTAGTTTCCTTCTCATTAACGCCTTCCCGGCAAGCAGAACGGCTTCACTTCAACGGAAGTGCTGGTTTTACAGGCAAGAAAACCTGGCGAGGGGGATTAAAAACCACCCACTAACAGCTGTTCCCTTGGGCTACATGCAGCTGACCTAGTTACCACCTCTCTGCCGTGTGAAAGCCATAGTAAGCTTGCCTTAGAACAACTTGAAGACGATCGCATGATCCCTCTCTTAATGGGATCAGAGCAAGGAGAAATCTGGAGGATGGGGGGAACAATCTGGCAAAATGAGCCAGCACCTCCAGGATTCATTTCCCTATGGCAAGCCAGACTGCCAAGCCTCTCCTCATTAATAATAAATAATTATTTTACAGCACCCAACTGGGCCCCGGCTTACAACCTCCTCTGAGACATGATGCAACAAAGGGATGATATGATAAGTACACAAGAACATAAGAACAGCCGTACTGGGTCAGACCAAAGGTCCATCTAGCCCAGTATCCTGTCTGCCGACAGTGGCCAACACCAGGTGCCCCAGAGAGGGTGGACCAAAGACAATGATCAAGCGATTTGTCTCCTGCCATCCTTCTTGCAAGTAAAGGTGGGAATGTAAAAGGAGGATTCAGAGAGAAGATTACATAGGGAGGGCCCACACCTACCTCAAAGGGAGCAGTATTGCCTAATGGATAGACCACTAGACTGCCACTTGGGAGAAATGGGCTCAATTCTTGGCTCTGCTACTGTTGTGCTGAATTACCTTGGGCAAGTCACTTTGCCTCAGTCTCCCAATGTGGAGATTGCCTCTACTCTTTGCAAAGCACTTCCACACCTATGAATGAAGAGGGCAACATCAGAACTAAGACTTATCGTTATTTTACTCCTATTGAAATCAATGTCAAAATTCCCTGCAGGAGGGTAGCATCATGGACAATCACAGCATCCTCAAAGAAGAGAGAGAATGGTGCTGCAGATATCTAAATAATCAGGGTGCACAAAATGTTGTCTTCTGGCCACTTGAAACGGGTCTCAAGAAGTGGCGTGATGGAGGAGAATATACTAAATGAGCCAGATCCAATGGAATCACACTGCTATAAAGCAGCAATGAGATGGGAATCTCGCCATCTGTGTCTCTTTCTTCTGCCAAACTCGGGCTATAAGTCGTATTGCCTGAGCCTTAATTAACACCTCGTTACAGAGGGAAAAAAAGAACACATTGTTCTCGAAACACAGCAAAACATTGGCCCAAACAGCTAATACAAAACTGTGCATGGCCCTGAAAACATTACATTGATCACTGCAACGTAAAGAAAACACCATTTAAAGCTTGCTTGGCAGGAGGCCTCATTGAAAATCATGTTAATCCCTGTCATGAGGATTAGTCTGAAAGGGCTGAGAGTTACTCCACTGAGCCTTCTGGGACAAATGGGCTCCTATGGGAAGGCAGGTTTTCTCTTTATTTATACATCAGGGCTCAGTCCTGTTATGAATATACCAAAACAAAGCAGCAGAGAACGGCAATTTCTAGCTGAACTCAGTTGTGCGGAAGCAGGAAATTGTCAAATATTGTCATCCTTTCATTTCAGCTCATCTTAAAATCTAGAATTTCCAGGAAAGTGCCCTTTCTACATAAAAAAAAAATCATGTGAAACTTTGAAACTTTGGAATTTGGGGATGCATAAAAAAACTCAATGCAAAAGTCTACTTAGCTACTGGTAACAGATGCAGCTCTACTGACATGGGTAAATGTTCACCCATTTACAAACAACAGAGATTTGGCCCACCCTCACCCCCTTTTTGGAGGGCATAAAAGGAAATTCCTTTTTCAAAGAGAGAAATTTCAAAATTCAATGGGGTTGGCAGGGTTTTAAACACATAACTGGCCCATTTTGTCAATTGAAAACAAAACCCATCAGCCTCCATTTTCAAGGTTTTTGTATTGCATACAATAACAACAATGATTAGCCCTTATATAGTGCTTCACACTTTCCAAGCATTAGCTAATTACTCCTAGGGACATCCCTAGGACCTGGGGATGTGTGTGTGTAAATATCCATACACATTGTTAATCAATTTCAATGCGCATTGGATTTGGCCTTTGCAAAAGGTCCTCCTGATGGATGCTTGAGGTTTAATTACTGAGGATTTGGGGATGGGGATGGGTCTGGGGGAGTAGGATGTGAACTCTTCCTCCCTCAAAGGCAGAAAAAAAAACCAATAGAGTTTTCCTAATTGTCCTTCACCATCCATCTTCTTTTTGCCTCCTCTCTCTTTTGCCTGATAACTCTCCCCACTCTATCTCACCAAATCTACCACCAATCACTTCCCTTTATTCCCCTTCCTTCATTTCTCCCCTTCTTTCCTCCATGTCTTCTCCAATTAAAAACATACCGGGGATGCCTGTGAGGAGCAGTGCCCCCTCCACCTCCAACAATTACCAATTCTCCAGCATCCTGGCTACTCAAATGCACAAAAGCTGGTAACCAACGTTCCCTCTAATGTTCTCCATCCTTGAGTGGATTTTTTCCATTCTTGTGCAGAATAATTTTTTGACGTGCGCCAAGGCATGTGAATGTGCACCACCAGTAGAAACAAAACCTTGCTGTGGGCACTCCGCTAGTCAGCTGGGCAGCATCTGATTCCTGAGCAGCTGCACCTGCATCCAACTCACAAGGAACACTGCTGGTAATTCCTCTCAGCTAGCCCCCTCCTCCAGCCTCCACTTCTGGGAACTGCCTTCCTAGGGAATGAAATGGCCTCCAGAGCTGCCTGGCTCAGCGTTGAGCTGGAATGCCATCCAAGGGTTTGCAGAGGAGTCAGAAAGACTGAGTAGAGAGAAGGGATGTGGGATGATTTGGACTAAGTGTTCTGGCTGAATTTCATCCTGGGTGATAAAAGGCAATAATGTATCACGGTGGAACAAATTCTTGCACACTGTGCATAACTCAGGGAGGAGGTATGATGTCACATTTAAGCAAAAAAGCAACCAAGCCCTCCCTGTAGGAGGCTGTGTGACATTCCGTCTCCTTGCTCCAGACGCACTGGCTGGCTCAGCATTCAAACTCCTCCTCTGCACCAAAGCCTGTTAAGGGCAACTCTGCCCAGCCTTGCATGCAACTGGAGCTGACACAGCAAGAATTCCTCCAGACTGGGCCTGGCAGTATGACAATATCCCCCCACCCATGCACAAGGGTGCAACATGCTTCCATCTCCCTTAACTGGTGCTGACTGCGGGTGGTCGGACGGTGTCCAGACAGACACTTGCTCTCTTTCCTCCCCTCCCCATTTCTTTTTGGGCAAGATCTGTAGGGGTTATAAGACAGGGCCAGGCCTGTGTCCCCCAGCCACTATACGGGTCCGTCTAGACTGCAAGCCTTTTTCGAAAAAGAGCGTCTAGACTACATCCAGTACTTTCGAAAAAGCAAGCCGCTTTTTCGAAAGAGAGCACCCAGGCAGTCTGGATCCTCTCTTTCGAAAAAGCAGTTTGCACTAGTGACTTTTTTTGAAAGAGCACCTTCGAAAAAAGGTGTTCTTCCCTGTAAAATGAGGTTATCCGTGGTCGAAAAAAACTGCCACGTTCTTTTGATTTACTTTCGAAAGAACACAGCAGCAGTCTAGATTCAGGGGAAGTTTTTTCGAAAAAAGGCCATTTTTTTTTCGAAAAAACCCTGTAGTCTAGACACACCCTAGAGGAATTGAGGGTTAGAGTCAATTTCTGCCCTGGCTGCTACGGAGGACTTAAATCTAGCCCTTAGAAAGCTCCGTCAAGTATGGGCCGCATCTTCTATGTACAGCACCAGGGACAGAAATCATCAGGTCCGGCCTTAGGGGAAGGCGAGCAAGGTAGTTGCCTTAGGCCCCACGCCTTCTGGGCCCCACGCTGCGCACAGGGCCAGGCCGTTAACGAGGGCCATGCTCTTCGCAGGATGTCACAGTGAATTCCCCAGCCCAGAACTGGCTGCACACACAAGCTGCCTTAGCCGGGCCTGAGCAGCTGCCAGCAAAGTTTGGGGAGGAGCAGAGCAGCCTGTAGGACCCGTGCCTGTCCAGTAGTTCAAGTCCTACCAACTGCTGGAAAGTGGCACAGCCCCGCCTACAGCTCCGATCATCTGCGGGGAGCTTCCTCTGATGCTGCCCCCTTCCCAAGGCTGCAGAACAAGCTCCTGCCCTGCAGTCCCCTTTCTCTGGGGCTACTTCCCCTGCTCGCCGGTTTCCAGGCATGCTCCCCCTGCAAACTTCACCTCGCTGACAAAGAAAACGCCACTGGAGCTCAGGCCCTACGCTGCTGAGTAGTCACCATACACCTGCCAGGCCCGGGGCCCCGTTCCCAGCGTCCTGCCTTGGGCCCCGCAAATCCTTTGGCCGGGCTGGCAAATCCTCCCTAAGAATCATCTCTGTGGCAGCAGCCTCCCATGTTATTATGACACCGCAATAATTTTCAAGACGGACAAAAGATCAGATGCTTTTTTACCCTGCCGCAAATGCAGAGTGGGCACCAAGCGCTACCTCCCTTCTGATTTAGTATCATTTTACAATGGCTTCGCGCTCATGTCCAGGACTGCCTGTGGCACAGGGCAATACCGAATCAGGCCTGCAGACTTTTGCAATTGCATTTCACCCTAAGTGATGGGAGCTGAACAGTTTTTGGGCTCAACTCCAGAATCTACTCAGGAATGGCCAAGACATGCACCGTCTTCGGTTTCAAAACCATCCCCTTAAGCTGAGCTGTGTATAGATAGTACAGTGCCTTTCGCCAATCCTCCAAGACAGTGGTCTCCAACCTTTTTAAGCACAAGATCACTTTTTTTAATTTAACTGCACTGTACGATCTACCTCAAACCCAAATACTCTGGCCCCGTCTCCTTCATACCCCTTCTCTGAGGCCCTGCCCCTGCTCACTCCATCCTCCCTCCCTTCCCCATTCTCCCTCCCGTTCACAAGGCAAGGGTAGAGGGTTGGGGTGCAGGCTCTCACCTTGGGCTAAGGGATCTGGAATGTGAGATGGGCTCTGAGCTGAGGCAGGGGCAGGGAGTTGAGGTGCAGGAGGGGGTTCAGGGTGCAGGCTCTGTAAGAGTTTGGGTCTAGGGGGTGCTCAGGGCTAGGGCAGGGCCTTGGTGTGAAGGAGGGGGGTCATGAGTGGGGCAGGGGCTTGGAGTTAGCTCAGCTGGACGCTGCTTACCTCAGGTGGCTCCTGGTTGGTGGGGGTGGTCACCGCTGCCCTGGGCCTGCATCACTCTCAAAAGCAGCCGGCAAACTCCCTCTCAGGTCTTGTTTTCCCCCTCCCCCCATTCTGTGGAGATAGGATACAGAGAGGAAGAGGGGGCACCCTGACATTAGCACCCCCTCCTCTCCCTTCCCTACTCTGTACCACAAGCAGGAGGCTCCTAGGGGGTCGGGAGAAGCTCCAAGGGAAA